TGTTGATCTGTAGGCCAGTGAGTCACTACCCGAGTCACACTTCCCAAAAAAAAAAACAAGCGCCATGGTACACTAATTGTTTCAGATGATAATACTTAATGATAATAATAATTATTATTATTATTATAAACATACATTATTTGACAATTATGAATTTATTTTAAAGTACAAATATTCCAATTGGTTGCTCAGCTAATATACAGTCTTAAAAGCATTATTATTGTTGTTGTAAATAATAATTATAAATGACACAGTTATGTAATTAATAATATAAATTCTTATATAATTATATAATAATTAGTAATAATAATTAGAAATAATTCCACAAATAAATGACAAATTCTACATTATCATTTAAAATAAATTACTCAAACTCACATTGAAATTTAATGTCAACTACTTTAATGGTGAATGATTACCATAATAAAATTTAAAAAAATTATATATGAGTTTATAAATGTGTGTATGACTGTAAACCCTGGTATGACTCCTTCCCCTGAGGCACCACCTAATGTTTTTCTATTTTAATATACTTCAAAATAGAAATATTTTCTAACAATATAAGCCTTTATTATTACTTTTTATCAATTTAACACATCCTTGCTGAATAAAAGAAGAAAAAAAGAAAGATAGAAATAAAATGACTGACCTCAAACTTTTGAACGGTAGTGTATATTGTTGCAAAAGATTTCTAATTTGAAGAAATGCTGTTCTTTTTAACTGTTTATTCATCAAAGAATCCTGAAAAAAAGTATCACAGCTTCCAAAAAAATATTAAGAAAAAAAAAAAATCAGCACTTAAGAATAATTTCTGAATGATCATGTGACACTGAAGACTGGAGTAATGATGCTAAAAAATTCAGCTTTGCATCACAGGAATAAATTATGTTTTAAAGTATATTAAAATAGAAAACTATTCATTTAAATTGCAATCATATTTCACAATATTCCTGTTTTTTTCTGTATTTCTGATCAAATAAATGCAGCCATGATGAACAGAAGAGACTACTTTAAAAAACATTACAACTCTTACTGATCCCAAACTTTTGAACGGCAGTGTATATATTTCTTAGACCGTCTGTCCCACTCTGTGCTGATAGCCCTTCTTGTACTAGTAATCCAGTTGGACAGTCTCACACTGGCCCCCCTCAGGTAGGCAGGATTAACAGCAGACACACACATGCAACAAAGCTGAACATTGGGCTTTGGCTCACCAGGACTCGATTTCTGTCTGATTTCTGGCACAGTTGTGAAGTGTTTCATTCGTCCCACTGCTGTTGTTTAACCCAGACAAATATCAAGCAGAGAAAGCCAAGCACAGCTAAATCATACTCATCCCCCCCTCTCTCCCACAAACACTTACAGCCTCTACGGCTCCATTGCAATGCCATTTTTCACTTGATCAACTTTCAATCTAAGTTTCTCATTAGTTTGTGTGTCAGCTTTTCTACAGACCTCATTTAAAGCGCATGTCTAAGTATGAGGGACTGCTTTGGGGAATAGTGTTAGTCTCGTCACTCTCATGCTTAGGCACGGTTCACTCGGCAAACAGCAACAAACCTTGCTACACTGAGTTACATCTTCTCCGTTCTTCATCAGCTGACAGAAGCACAGCCTCAGGATAAGGTCATCCTTTTCTTCCTCTCTCATCTTTATTCAGAAGCTGTTACATGCCCCTTTTTGCTCTCAATCCATCTTGGCTTGACTCCTTTCTACCTACATTAATTTTAAATGAATTTAAAAAAATTACTAGAATTGGTGCCCTTCACGCTTCAAGCATATTATGCACTAAATAAATCTACATTTAACTGTGAGATTAGCTGGTCTAGTGGTATTACTGTTGCATAAAGTGTAAGAGGTCTAATATTTGAATCTCTGATAAGTTGACTTTTTGAGAGAGAGAAAAATAGCTGGGGTACATTTGGTTGCATTTTATTTGACTTGATTAGCTTGACCTCAGTTGCTCAGCATTGTTAACATTCAACATTTCATTCCTCCTTCACAATTGGCTTCAAGCAGGTAAAGAGACTTTTTTCATGCCCAGGCAAATGCAGCAGAAGTGAGAGGGGGCGGCAGGGCTTCAAGTATGCAGAATGAGCTCAGGAAAAGTTACCACAATGGTTAAAACTTAGGTTAACATTTTTTTTTCTGCCAAAAATGGCCCCAGCAACATATTAGCAGTAAACATGTAGCAATGCTAGCTCAGCAAAAGGGTGCATCGAGTGCTAGAAAAGAAGAATATCTGCCCATGCATGTTGATTTGAAATGCATGTGTGCATATACACACAATCCCCCCCACAAAGACATCTGTTTCTCATGTGTGACCTCAGCCAAGATCACTTCTGACAGTGTGGAGGCCTAGATTAATACTAGAATTCTCTGCCAAGAAGAAACCGAGTACATGCTATGCTGGAGTGCAGGGGTTGCAAAGTTCATCTATCTATCTATCTATCTATCTATCTATCTATCTATCTATCTATCGTCTGTCTGTCTGTCTGTCTGTGTGTCTGTCTGTCTGTCTGTATCTATCCTATATTTTTTCATCTGTTGCATCAATCTATTGTTTGTTTGTTTTATCTTTTTATCTGTAGTTCTGTTGTTTCTTCTCTCAATCGTTCTGTCTTTTTTTCTTTTCTTTTTTTTTCCTCTTATTTTTGTGAAATTTGCCTTTTTGTAAAAAAAAAAAAAGGATCAGAAAATGTTGCAAACTAGATTTGAACTTGCATGACTTTCGGTTGGATGCCAGCTCATTTTTTCAATCTATCTATCTATCTATCTATCTGTCTATCTGTCTATCTGTCTATCTGTCTATCTGTCTATCTGTCTATCTGTCTATCTGTCTATCTGTCTATCTGTCTATCTGTCTATCTGTCTATCTGTCTATCTGTCTATCTGTCTATCTATCTATCTGTCTATCTGTCTATCTGTCTATCTGTCTATCTGTCTATCTGTCTATCTGTCTATCTGTCTGTCTGTCTGTCTGTCTGTCTGTCTGTCTGTCTGTCTGTATCTATCCTATATTTTTTCATCTGTTGCATCAATCTATTGTTTGTTTGTTTTATCTTTTTATCTGTAGTTCTGTTGTTTCTTCTCTCAATCGTTCTGTCTTTTTTTCTTTTCTTTTTTTTCCTCTTATTTTTGTGAAATTTGCCTTTTTGTAAAAAAAAAAAAAGGATCAGAAAATGTTGCAAACTAGATTTGAACTTGCATGACTTTCGGATGGATGCCAGCTCATTTTGTCAGAGAGGTTGGACTAACCACTAGATGACAGCACCCAACATTCTATGTTCTGTTCTATTCTATTCTATTCCGCTCCACTCTTCTGTAACATCTCCATACATGTGAATTCAGCTGCACAAAGACCCATCAAAGAAGTACTTCCACTGAAGTTTTATTCTATTCTATTCCGCTCCGCTCCGTTCTTTTGTAACATCTACATACATGTGAATTCAGCTGCACAAAGACCCATCAAAGAAGTACTTCCATTAAAATTCTATTCCATTCCGCTCCGCTCCGTTCTTCTGTAACATATCCATACATGTGAATTCAGCTGCACAAAGACCCATCAAAGAAGTACTTCCATTGAAATTCTATTTTATTCCATTCCGCTCCGGTCCGTTCTTCTGTAATGTATCCATACATGTGAATTTAGCTGCACAAAGACCCATCAAAGAAATACTTCCATTGAAATTCTATTCTATTCTATTCTGCTCCGCTCCGTTCTTCTGTAACATCTACATAAATGTGAATTCAGCTGCACAAAGACCCATCAAGGAAGTACTTCCATTGAAATTCTATTATATTCTATTCCGCTCTGCTCCACTTTGTTCTTCTGTAACATCTACATACATGTGAATTCAGCTGCACAAAGACCCATCAAATAAGTACTTCCATTTAAATTCTATTCTATTCTATTCCGTTCCGTTCCGCTCCGTTCTTCTGTAACATATCCATATATGTGAATTTAGCTGCACAAAGACCCATCAAAGAAGTACTTCCATTGAAATTCTATTCTATTCCGCTCCGCTCCGTTCTTCTGTAACATCTACATACATGTGAATTCAGCTGCACAAAGACCCATCAAGGAAGTACTTCCATTGAAATTCTATTCTATTCTATTCCGCTCCGCTCCACTTTGTTCTTCTGTAACATCTACATACATGTGAATTCAGCTGCACAAAGACCCATCAAATAAGTACTTCCATTTAAATTCTATTCTATTCTATTCCGTTCCGTTCCGCTCCGTTCTTCTGTAACATATCCATATATGTGAATTCAGCTGCACAAAGACCCATCAAAGAAGTACTTCCATTGAAATCCACAGTCAACATCACCTTCTGCAGCAGCAGAACAAAGTGTGTCTCTGTTCTGTGCTCTTTCACACATATAAACACACACAAACACACAGCTCATACATGAAGCGGTAATTAGCATTATTAGGGGTGTCATCCCTCCGCAGTGTGGGTGTTGAGTGAGGCCTAAAATAATCCAGTGATGAATTACGAATCCCACGAATGAAACTCATTATCAGCTGCACCGTTCCAGCAGGCTGAAGGATCTGTGTACCTGAAACATATAATCACAGGCTTCCAAAAATCCCCTCAATAACTCTGTCTAGACTTCAGAGCTGATGTGCGGCGGACATCACCAGTCGAGTTGCGTTTGTAAAGAGATCACACGTTTTGGGTGTGATCACACGTTGTTGAAAGGCAAAGTAGTGGAGGAAATGATTGTATGTGTTGTTACAAATTTTATTTATAGCTTCAAACATAGTGGCAACTGTTATCAAGTACTGTACATTTGTTGCTTAGTGTTTGTGCAGCATCATTTTTATTAGTAGTAGAAATATTATGCTAAAATGGCATATTTCAAATGTATTATTATTATTATTTATTGATAGTTTCTGTGTCTGAAAGGACAGGTGTATGGTGTTTCCATTAGTTTCTTCAAGGTTTTTTGCTTGCTTCTCCCACTATGTTTTCCTCTCTCTCTTTCTGCAGATCTCTCTATAGCCCGGTCCAGAACTGTGCAGTCATGTTCAGGAACAGTCTGAAGATGCTGCTTGGCGGCAAATCCAACCGCAAGAATCGAAACAGTGGTAGGTTGAGTTTTCTTTTTAAAATTGGGAAGCTTCCCTATAACCGGACCCCCATTAGTCTCATGGAGCAGGAGTGTGTTCTTGTGTTCATGTTTGTCTAAATATACTTATATGTCAGATGTCTACTGTAATTTCCATAAAATAAGTCACACCTGACAATACGTTGCACACAGAAGGTGATGTTGACAGTGAGTTGCACTAGGTCAAAACTACATTCAGCTTTTGTCATGCAGTCAGTGTCAGTTTTCAAAAGAGTCAAAAGAACCTGGGGGTAAGACAGACCTCTCAAGCTTACTGCAACTTTATCATTTGGTAGGAGAGAGTAGGATAAAATGTGTCACTGGGCAAGCTACTGTATGTGCAATGATTTTCACAGTAATTAAAAAAGACAACATTTTTCTACATTTAATATCAACGCAAACTTGTGCTCTTTCCAGGATTATGCTTTTTCACTTTAGTCAGTTGCTAGTTTAAAAAGTCATGCAAATGCAAATTAGCTAAAACAGAATTATTAAGTGAAGCACATTTGCCAGAATTGTAGCTGTGCGGTAAAGTGTTTAAATATTCTGCTAGTTCAACCTTTTTTGCCTGATATATGAAACTTTTGTCCTACTGCACTGGCCACTTGTGTTTAAAATTTGTTTATACTTAAAAAAATCTGCCAGTGTAGAAAGACATTATACATATTAAAGATAGTGTATGATAGTGTGCCATTCAAAGGTTTGGGGTCAGTAAGATTTTTTTTTTTTATTATTAATATTTTTTTTTCAGCAAGGATGCATTCAATTGACAAAAGCAACAAGAAATTGACAGTGCTTTACAAAGAAATCAAATGTTCTTTTGGTTTCTACAAAAATATTAAGGAGCATGGTTTTCAACTGTGATAGTAAGAAATGTTTCTTGAGCAGAAAATCAGCATATCATAATGATTTCTGAAGGATCATGTGACACAGAAGACTGGAGTAATGATGCTGAAAATTCAGCTTTGCCATCACAGGAATAAATTACATTTTAAAATATATTACAATTGAAAATGGTTATAATTTTACAGTATTATCATTTTTACTATATATTTATTAAATAAATACAGCCTTGGTGAGCATAAGGGGCTTTTCATAAACATTATATTATACATTAAACTTTTCCACAGCTGCATTAAAAAAAATCTAACCAATGCCACACTTTTGAACAGTACTGTACATTCTCTTAAAATACTGTAGGTCCTAACTTATGAAGGGTTGCTGCTCAAGCAAATTTATTTTGTTTTATCATGTTTTAACTGGAAAATAAATACTTTTTATTTTATTTTATCAGTTTATTGTTTGGGATTCATTATGATGTAGATTGCCATTTGGATATAAGTGAATGTAAATTTGATTACGTTTTTAATAGTTGTCAATGACCAAACCCTGACAAAATATTATAATTTATGGGCATTGTTAAAAGCAATATTCAATGTAATAAATGAGAAATCACTTCTGTTGCACAGAAGAAACTGCTGTTGCTTGTGTGTGTTGTGTGAAACAGGCCTAGTATCTGCCTGAGGGACTGTGGAGATCTCTGTGCACACTCTTTCAGGGTTGTGGTAGAGCTTTGTGTGACTGAGAAGGGTGGGTTTGTTTGTCTGTGTGCTTTCTTGTTAGTTGTGTTTGCGTTTGATTCTCACTGGAGTTTGGCTCTGTGACTGCAAGGACGTCCACGACTGTAAACTTTTGTTTACCAAACACACAACATGTACATGCGATCAAACGCACACACATACTTTACCTACCTTCATACCTCAGGTCTGTCTGAATCCCTCATAAAGCTTTAGTCAAACAAGTGGCAAGTCTGGCTCGCCCAACAGACTAGCCATTCACCTCAGTGAGAGGTGTATCAAAGGGACCTCACACTTCCCAGAAAAACCTCCTGTCTTCAGTCAGTGTCCTCGGACTGTGGTTGAAATTCATGCTACTTTGGTGACGTCTGGAGTAATTTTCTCTTCAGGGCCTCCAGCTCCTCTATAAGCTTGAAGGGGCCAATTTATTTCCAGCGCGCTTTAGGGTGTCATTACTGTCACGGGTTTAGATAAATGTAAAGCTGTTTGAACGGCCCCATTGAAAAATTACAGAAGTATATATTTATAAATGAGGTGAAAGTTGATGTATTCCCTCAGTGACCAGCACAGATCAGGATATCGTCCTCTTTTGGAAGACCAAACAAAGTAGTTTCGCTACTTTGTAGCAGTTTAGTAGTAGTTTAGCACACAGCGCCTTCACGACATGACTGCAGCGTCAACAATACTACAGTGAGAATAAAAGTTACGCCTTCTTTCTTTGCGTGAACATTTGGGCAGCGTTATGCAAATCTTCCCACATAGTGAGGTAGATATGTAGGGGGCGTGTTAGAACGAGCCGTTTTAGGTAGGTGTGGCTGACTCTGAACTTTTATAAGGAATATCTCTTTGGATTCGAGACTTTAGTCTTTGCAACTTTACAGATCTTCTTTATGCACCAAGAGCTTGTAACACTCCAAAGAGAAAGGAAAAATTTAAATCGCATCATATGACCCCTTTAAATTGTTCATTCAAATGGTTTTCAGTGAGCTGATTCACTAAAACGATTCATTGAACCATTTGAACCAGGACCAAAGTGCCATTTAACTACTTTGTTGTAGTTGCACTCACAATCACATACAGGTGCATCTCAATAAATTAGAATGTCGTGGAAAAGTTCCTTTATTTCAGTAATTCAACTCAAATTGTGAAACTTGTGTATTAAATAAATTCAATGCACACAGACTGAAGTAGTTTAAGTCTTTGGTTCTTTTAATTATGATGATTTTAGATAGTGAATTGGTGGGTTTTTGTTAAATGTGAGCCAAAATCATCACAATTAAAAGAACCAAAGACTTAAACTACTTCAGTCTGTGTGCATTGAATTTATTTAATACACGAGTTTCACAATTTGAGTTGAATTACTGAAATAAATGAACTTTTCCACGACATTCTAATTTATTGAGATGCACCTGTATTGTATATCACAACCGATTGATCCTTTTTCATTTTATTATATTCTATATATTTTTTTTTTCAACTGAAACTAGTTCTAGTCAGCTAGTGATCCCGTGCAATCATTGTGTTCCACAAAAAAAAAAAAAAAGTTGAAAATGTTTAAAGTTGTCCGTTGTTCGAATCATTAAAAGCAATAAGGAGCAGTTGCTGAGGCTCTTTTGTACTTCACATCAGAGTGGCAGTTGAGAAGTTTGAGTGTTTCTGGGTTATAAGTGTCATTCACATACAGTACGTGGTTACCTGAAAGAAAAGAAGACTTGAGATCCAGATTTACTCCAACCCCAGTTGTCCTTTTTAAATTCATTATGCTTGAGTTTTCAAATAAGCCTAGACACCAATTCTCAGTCTGTGCAGAAGAAGTGTCCTGTTGTGTTGTGAGGCCTGTGGGTTTGTCTGTTTTGAATTGCAGCTGTGTTGTTGTACTCGTCTTTGATCTCGTCTTTAGACTGGAGGATTTCCACAAGGTTTTGTCATACAGTAATAGCTCTCTTCACTCTGCATGTCTCCTTGTATCCTGCAGTGCTACATATTTGTAGTGCCTGTGTAGTTTCTGGTGTAATTTTTTTGTTCATTTCTGCTTTCTTTTTTCTTTTATTATTCAGTTTGATGCAAATGTAGCTCTCTCGGCTGAATATATTTGCCAAAAATTAGATCTGCACAGCAGAGGAACTGAGCTCCACGGTGAAGAAAAAAACCACGTGTCGCGGGGCAATTGATGGTTAGCCTCTAGACCCCTCAGACATTGTGAGCAGAATCCTAACGGTCTCAAACAGCTGCCAACAGCATTGACGCATGAACCCTGTGTGGTTTGAATATGATGCAAGCCTGTATAAAAACCGCAGGTGATATTTGCTGCAGCGTGTCATTGCACTGGCTGATTTTGACAGATTTGGTTGCGGCAGGTTTGATTAGTGTAATTATTTTTATAGAGAGAGAACTTTAAACAAATACATGCTGATGAATACTGATATTGGAATATGTGGATAATGTGTGGTGAAACTGATACCTGTTCTGTTTAATTGGACAAATTTGTTTCAAGATTGATGCCAAAAACTGTTGTAAGCTATGGAAGTCACTATTTAGGGTGAAACAACACACAGTTCCCTTAGCCTGTCTAATATTTAAATAAAATAATAGTAATAATAATAATAATAAAAAAAAATGAATGTAAGGAAGTAGAATTGGAATCTGAATGAAATTAATAAGGACATTCAGATAATGATAATGAATGAAGTTCAAAGGAATTCATATAACTTTTTAACTAGAAAAGCAAGGTTTGGCACAACACACACAAATGCAAATGAATGTTGATTTGACAAAAGCCGTCCCAGAGATGGATGGATGGATAGATAACTTGTGGTGAATCTTTTTGTACTGTAATTCATTTAATTACTCTTCCTGTAATTCTAATTCAGCTTCCTGTGTTGTGATCAATTCAATTCAAATTCAAACACATAATTTGAAAGGGAGCCAATTCCTGAATTGTGCATTTAGCACAACCGAGATTGGCCATCGCTTTACTGATGGAAAAAACGTTTTGTTGAGGTTCTTAAAGCCTGGTGTGATGGCTAATGTAGGTGCTCAGGCCTACTCACAGTAGCTAGCCAATTAGGTGAAGCCCAACTCCACCTCGTAATTGCAGTCTTTTCAGTAAGCTGTGATTGGGAAACCCAGTCAGGTTTAGCAAAGCAGTTAGCATTCTTTAGTGAATGGAGCCCCCAAAGTTGTTGATATTTTGTAGCTGTTAGATTTCAGAATTCATTTCTAGTCCTTCAGACGATCTAGTCATTTAGTAGAAACTTTCACATAAAGCAGTTTACTTATTACAGGACCGGTAACCCTGGTGTGCCTAACACAAGCGCGCTGGTATGACTCATGAGCTGGCGTTTCAAACAGGATCATGAGTTGGGATTCGAACCAACAACCTTTTGGTTTCAAGTCCAGATAT